AGTATAGTATAAACTATAAACTACTCAAAAACCGAAATTCATAATTCCAGGAATGAGGTATACGATATTGTGGTAGTACATAATTTCTCAACTTCTCAATTATATTTAAGTATTTATATATATGACCCGCTCACAACTCACAATCGTTGTTTTTGTTAAAAATTGTGTTCCTGATCGAAGGTGGTATAATATCACGATTCTAATTTTTAAGTTTAATGCAACAATTAAACGACGCAGCGTGAGCAAAATTTTCAAAATCGGAGCAGATCATAAATTACAAATACAATCGGAGTCTTTCTTCCTAAAGTGTCGTGCATTAGAATTTAGAAAACGTGCATGAATGAATGTCACCGGTTTGATCATTTCAGAGACCAGGTTTCAATTGGTAAATGGCGGTGGAAGCCCTATAAGTATAACGTATTTATCAGAAGCACTACTATTAGTATTGTATAACGGTGGTACCGTTAATTGCGATGATGATTTTAGTGATAACTCCGCGAGTGCCATATATGCACAAACTGATGGGTTTTAGACTATGCTAGTATTAATTATAATTCGGAAGATTATCTCTGTATGTCTGTCTGTATGTCTGTACGACCGCCCACGTGCAAATTACATAGGAAATAGGAAGTTGCATAGTAACCATGGTAACGGTGGTGAACGCGCACGTGCACATGCAAAGATTTGTGAGCGACATTTCGATCGGTTTTGTGGTAATTATACGTTGTATTCAGTTCGAGCTACATTTTAATCGGCTGTATCTTCGGTTGAGATGGATATTTTTAATGCGATAAAAACTGACTACCAAAGAATACTATTAAGCTATTACCCTCCTCCCTGTGATCCCGGGCTTTCTAGTTACTCTATAAAATTAATTTATAAAGTGACGCTGGCGAAATAATCATATAAATTAAAAATCATCGTGAGTTTTTTTTTCATTTTAAGCTTAATATAACCTTGACCTCGTACAGGGGTACACCCTTGCATGTACAGCAGCAAACCGAATTCTTGTCGAGAAGGCGCGAATTGCTCACGATCATTTTCTGACCTCTGTTTTAAAAAGTCTTAATTCTGTATGCGCATGAACTTTGAATATTCATTTAATGAATTTAAGTTCGTTCTAGAATTTATTTGTAACTTAAGTAATACCAAAAGATGCTGCATCAACGCTGATTTTTATTATCTCATTCATTGCCTTGATTTCTTCTTGACCACGTCAAATAACAATAAATTTGTGCTAGTCAATATTCAATATAAATATAATAATGATTTTTGTTGATGAAAATGTCAGCAAATTGCAAAAATGGCAAATAGGGTTTTGTCATATTATTTGCTATTTCCGCTAAGTTTTGCAAAATTTTGGAATACTGACATTTAATTGACAACGATATTTTTCGACAAGAGATTATGTAGTTCTACCATATTGTTACACTATAGAACGTTTTATAACATCCAATTTATTCACTCTATCACATATAGACATGTGAAATGTTGAAAAAATTCAGAATCATTAAACAATAAAACTAAAATACTACGTTTTCCGAAATTTAATTTTCGTAAATGGGCGTGGCCACCAAGGACGTGGTTCTCAACATCTCAGAACTTAAAACCCACATTACACGAAATGCCTTGAGACATTTATATTTGAATAACGAATCTTAAACATCTAACATTACTCCTTCATACTAAAAAAAGCCGATTCTAGATATTTTACCTGTATAAGAAACCAATAAAATATGGCGTGCCGGTGGAGGACCGAAGATGGAAGAGTTGAAGGCTGAATTTTGTTTGGTGGACCTTTGACCCCAAGATGAACAGATTAGAACATACTCATAATATTCAAGGACATTTTTGTTTTTTGAACTCGGTCTAACATACATAGACGGAATAATCTTGAAATTTATCGAAAAAATGATAATCTAAATTTCGAGACAAATTAATGTCAATTAATTCATTAATGACAATTAATGTCAATTAATTCAATTAATGCAATTAATGTCAATGTCAGTTTAGGGTTTTTAATGGAATACTGATATTAATATGACGTTGCATTCCCCCATTTTTAATAACATATTACGTTCACATATTTACATAATCAACCGTATTCAAGACCCAATCCCCCCTCTCCTGAAGCAATATTACGTAATCACGTCCCCCCCCCCCCCCTTTTGAATATTCCCTGGAAACACTTTTTGGAAACACTTTTTCCTTACGTTTATGCATACCCGATCACAATGATCCGAAATCATTGTAATGATACCATCCCATCACCTTTCAAACTACTTAGGTTATAGTCGGAAATCCGATCAATTTCTAAATTTACACTGTCAGAGAGAAATTTTTAGTGAGCAATTGAACTCCCCTCAGACTATTAAGTAATTAAGAGGAACGACCCCAATGTCACTTAAATCTTAGGATACCGTTAACTCTCGATTTCTATACGATAATTTAATAAGCAACAGAGGTGGCGAATTTACCGTTTTGTTTTCAGTCATAATCTTAACTTTTTCTTCCAGTCAGTGGAGTGACAGGCCTTAAAGCCACTGTTTAACACCTGACTGATCTTCGCCTCCCTTGCACGCACATAGAAAACCTGTGGTTAAAATAAATTAATAAAGTTCATTAAAAGATAAATTATTGATCTGTATACTGGTGAAGAGATGATTTGTTGTGACAATGACAGTGAACAGTGAGTGACACGATGACAGTGATGAGATCAAAGATGGAAACTGATTGTTTAGATCGGAGTCAGAAAATATGTTCTCTATTAACTAGAAAAGTTCATGATTATCTCATAATATAGACATTCAGCTTGGTAAGACCACAATAAAAAATTACAACGAGTAAGATGGTAATGGATCGCAAGGAGGTTTTACTGTACACAATACTAATTTTACACCCTATTAACTATTTACACTATTAGTAATACCACTCGGTCGTTCGTAGACTTTTCTTTTCAGCTGCTCAAAATCAACGCTGTACATAGGGGCAGTACCCTGAAATTAATTGGAACATTAGCAAATTAGTTAGAAACAAACGAAACAATATACTCTAGTAGCAGGAGGGTTGAGTGTGCACTCGATGTACAGAGTTTTTTTGATACTGAATCGGGTTTAATTAGGACATTGAAACTCCAATCACCGAGGGGCACATTTTGTGTCCTAGTCCCAACCCCTGATGGGGCCACGCCCCATATTTCAACATTAGGCGCATGTATGGGAATATGTATCTCACCTTCCTGAAGGTTCCTTAGAGACTCAAACTTTGGCTTAAAATGACCGCAATGCACATATTTATATTGACCCTATGAAGGTATAAAGGCCCAAAATGCTTACTTTTGAAAAAATCCCGACAAACCGATTTTCACTGGGCGAGAGTGAAAAATCTCTACATCTAGAAGCTTTATTGACATCGAGTATGCAGTTTGGTGTCTACAACTTTTCGCTAGAAACCAGGTCTATTGAAGGTCATTCTGATCAAATGAGTAAGGTACGCATTTCTATCATAATCCTAATCCTAGGGGGAAATTCAATTATCCCTCAGGCAACTAAATAAATGACTTTTCTAATCTCGCTTCTGAACAGTTGTATGGGCCTCTCTATTATCTTCAAACTAACTTGCAAAGGCCACATTATCTACAGCTATAAAGCAACATAGGGTTTATTATGTGCTTAGTTTTGGAGATATTCATTAAAAACTGTTTTTAACTTTCGTGCATCCTAAATTAGTAAACACATGTACTTAATTTAGGTATCCCCGGGCTAAACAGTCTTACAGACACTTCCCTTGCAGCACAGCAAAAAAGTCAGCATGATCACATTCAGATAATATTTATGGAGCAACACAATCAGTTTCAGAGCTCTTTTCCGCTATCTTACTTATCCACAAATTATACATCTCCACCTCTGGTTACTTCAAACCACTTCAAACCCCAAATATTATACATGAAAATCTAACAATCTCGTTAAATCTAGCACAAGTTGGGCTCTCTCCTACGTGTTTGGCTATTATGGCTAATCACTCCCATCCACCGCATGTTGTAGAATCTCCTTCTAGTTTTCTTCAATTCTGCTACTCCATGCCATGCCTATTCTACCCGCTACCACCATGTACCAGCACGTATAATTCTAGCTCTTCAGCAAACTCTGAATGCCTACCCTCTACCTCCTCCTCAGTGCTCTATACAGACCACCAGAGGTCATAAACCACCAACTCCAGCTCTTATCACATACTTGGCTACATCTATTTAGCTACTCGCTGCAGGCCCCTGGCCCCTTCAACCTCTGCTCTTTCTAGCAACTTAACATAAGTTTTACTACCTCTTGCCTTTTAAAACACCACCATCAACAATTGTATTCTTGCTCTTTCTGCTGGCTTGCCTCAGTGCATTCAACAATTTTCCAGTCAAGAGAAAAGGAAACCATGCATATCTAGCAACCTCTGAATCTACTTCCTGCTCTAATCTAGCTTCCACCAACACCCATGCTAATTGTTGTTACTTGTTTAAGCTACCACTAGCATGAGCACCTGCAAATTCTAGCCCTATCCAGCAACTCAGACACATTATACTCTATCCAATAGCACTAACACCCTCAAATTCAAGCTGGAGCCTGGAGGTAGCCTGAAATTAGTAAAAACAAATAAATTTGAGAGAGCCATTTAACTGAATAAGGTGGATGTAGACCGAATTACTAGAAGAAGCTCAAATTGTGGGTACCGTTTGCTAGTGTTAGCTGATAGAGCAGAAAGTTAGTCTGAGGTAGCTGGAAAGTGCTGAATTGCAGGTGCTGGTGATAGCTGTTTGTTTGTTTGTTTGGGGACGCGGTTTTGGGTAACCATCTCCTCTGGTATACTTCAAACCACTTTCAATCCCCAAATTTTATACATCTAACCATCCCACTAGTGTTCCATCTCGTTTAAAGCCAAGGATCGACCGAGACTGCTTTTTTGGCCGGGACTGGGAAAAAGTGCTGGGACCGGGATTAAGACCGGACCAGGGATTAGGGATCGGATTCTTTCCCTTTTTTCTTTTTCAGCTGCTCAAAATCAACGCTGTACATAGGGGCAGTACCCTGAAATTAATTGGAACATTAGCAAATTAGTTAGAAACAAAAGAAACAATAGTTATGCGATGGATGGACGTGAAACGGGATGCAATGAAGGCCGCGCCCAATTCCGAGCGGCGGCAAATTGTAAAAGCGCGCAATATTCGATTGTATCTTTTCATAGAAAATTCGTTTGGTGTTTGCGCTCAAGATTCATTTATAGTTAGGGCAAGAATTGCTGTTTATGGGTCAATCTGTGAACAAATTCGTAACAAAGGTTTGTCTACAGGAATGTGTTGTCCATAGTCCCAGGAACCACCAAAAAAAACCGTCCAGCTGAAACTTTTGGGCAAAAATTTTTATAGTCATTTTTCTCCAGGAACCCATACGCCCCACCCCTAATATTGGTTATTCGGCTCCCGAAGGTTTTGAGATCTCCATAGGGGGTGCAAAATGACCGCAATGGCCACATTATGGCAGGCGAATGATAGTTTCAGAACGATTAGAGCTTTATTTTTTCGAAATAAATGGAATTTTTCGAAATTTTTCTCAATTTTATTGAAATTTCGAAAAAAAATACACCAAATTATTTTTAACGCTTATTTCAAATCTATTTAAAAACTCATCTACAAATAACAAATACAGTTAATCTAAAATGTGTATTCTCAGTAAATACCATGACAATTATTAATACACAGTTAATATTAATCAAAATTCGCTTGTTCTTCAGGTTCATCATGTCTAATGTTTGTGCAGTTCATACCATGGCATCGTCCACAAGCTGGCAAACAATTGAAGCCATATTTCCTACATGAACATCTGAAAGTCAAACAGGCCTGTTCCACATCGACAGAACAGTTACAACATGTAAGGTTCGAAATAGACTCTGGAGAGGGATCAGGGAGGAGGAGGAAGAGGAGGACTGAGGAGGACTGAGGAGGATGAGGACTAAGAAGAAGGATGAGGAGGAGGACTGAGAAGGAGGATGAGGACTAAAGACGACTAAGGAGGATGGCTGAGGAGGATGACTGAAAGGGAGGAGGAGGAGGTTGAGAAGGAGAAGGAGGAGGACCTAGGAGGAGGACTGAGGGGGAGGATGAGGAGGAGGAGGACTGAGGACGACTTAGAAGAAGGAGGACTGAGGAGAACTGGTGAGGAGGAGGACTAAATAGGAGGAGGAGGAGGGGGACTGGGGGAGGACTGAGGAGGATTGAGGAGGAGGGGGAGGACCGAGGAGGAGTAGGAGGGCTGAGGAGGACTGAGGAGGATGGCTGAGGAGGATGACTGAGGAGGAGGACTGAGAGGGAGGAAGAGGAGGAGGAGGAAGAAGACTGAGGAGAAGGAGGAGGAGAGGACTTTTTGTCCGTTTTTGTCCGCTCTATTTTTTGTCCGTTTTGAAAATATAGGGTACCGAACGAACAAAAAACATGATCCCCCCCCCCCCCCCCCCCCCCCCCCCCCCCCCCCCCCCCCTTTATACCAAGAGCAGCCTTATTAGATATCCTCATCATCTGATATTGATCAAATAAGCTCATCGGCACAGGGACAAAAGGAAATCGCGGCATGTACGAAATCGCGATTTTTCCCATTTTTTGCGACAAATTTTATGTATAGTTTAATGTATAGTCTGTTAAAAATCGCGGTTTCGCGAAATTGGGCCAAAATAATCGCGAAATCCTTTTGTCCCTGCATCGGCACCACAGTTAACTCGTATGTTAGGCATTCCTCTATTGAAGTCTCTCTATCAGCAACCAAGACTAGACGGTTAAAACACTTCAACGGATCGACTGCAACGCTTTTATTATTCACTTTAACCTGCTTTCTTAGTTGTGTCAAGTTCTTTGCTTTACATTTGATACTTATCTTATCGATGAATGTCAACCCATCTAGCTCACGTTGAAGGACAGCCCCAACGGCCAAACATTCCTCGGGATTCACCTCATCGTTCCCAGGCTGTGATATAAGACCAGTCGAAAAAGATATTAACTTAGTCTTATCTTCGGATTCTGTAAAGTCGACAGTAACTTTAAACCAAGTTAATAATTTTCCAAATACATCACAGTTTTTCTTGATTGATGACTTGGTAAGATCTGAGTGGATGGCAGCCTTAGTTGGTACTCCTGATCGCTTCGATGAATTAGCTAATGAATCTCCAAAAGACTGATTTATTAAAGCCATCTGATTCAGGGTGGCCACCCATAACTTGTGAGCGGACTCACGATTACGCATCCTTCCACTTGTTAATCCACCACTAGATTTAGCTGCCTTCATAAGACTCTGCTCTATGGAGAGGTCAGTCCACACCCCGGCCCACTCGTGGTCGTTGTAACAAACCGTGTGAAGCCCAGTTACTTTAAAGGTCTTTAAAAGCGCCCCATACTTGACTTTAAAAATAGCATCCTGCTCCAAATACAGTCTTAAAGCTTTTGCATACTGTCCCCTCCCAGCTGCTGCGAAGTAGAGAAGTAGGGCAGCATCAAAGCTACTGCTGATAAATGCATAGTGTAGTCGTGCAACCTCTCTGCTCTTATGAAGTCCTTTACTAGTGTTATCATGTTGTGGTAAGTAACCCATAGAGCTGCTGTTCTACTGTTGGAAAACAGGTTCTTTAGAAGCAGAGTTATTTTCTCTGATAGATCCTGAATAGATTTAGTCTTAAAGTTAACACCTAGATTTTCGTTCACACATTTGTTGATGTAACCTTCCAAGTTTACTAGTTCATCGTCGTAAACTTCTTCCTTTATAATGAAACAACAAAGAGCGGCGTCGATCAGAAAGTGGGCTCTCAACGCTTTATAGTAAGATCCTCCATCCGATATATGCGTGACGTCTCCAGGATACACGAGTTTGATGAGCTCCTCTAAACCCGAGTCTGCCATTATATAGCCTATGCAGCCTAGAAAACTCGTGAGAGTGTGGAAGCCCCCAACCCTGACCACAATAGACATCCCAGTTTCCAGTACTATTTGGGTGGCCTTAATCCACAATGGCAAATCGAATGTGATTATCATCGGCTCACTGTAGGATAGGTAACTTAAGACATTCAGCCAGAGTAGTATGTACCGTCGAATAGCTGTCTGGGGGTTGGTCAATAATCTGTTGTTTGTTAGTTAACCTTGATATTTGTTAATTGAAGTTATTTCCCGAGTAAGATTTGAAATAAGCGTTAAAAATAATTTGGTGTATTTTTTTCGAAATTTCAATAAAATTGAGAAAAATTTCGAAAAATTCCATTTATTTCGAAAAATAAAGCTCCAATCGTTCTGAAACTATCATTCGCCTGCCATAATGTGGCCATTGCGGTCATTTTGCACCCCCTATGGAGATCTCAAAACCTTCGGGAGCCGAATAACCAATATTAGGGGTGGGGCGTATGGGTTCCTGGAGAAAAATGACTATAAAAATTTTTGCCCAAAAGTTTCAGCTGGACGGTTTTTTTTGGTGGTTCCTGGGACTATGGACAACACATTCCTGTAGACAAACCTTTGTTACGAATTTGTTCACAGAAAAATCAACTCTTGCCCTAACTATTAGAATGTGCCATGAAATTGTGTTAGACTCTAGTTATGGGAATGGTGGTAAAGTTCTCACTTCGACTTTACTGCAATCTATCAGTAGGACAGTCTATGTGTGATTTTCACGATTCGCAATCAAGGTATAATTTTAGAAATATTCAAATAGATTGTAAACTGGTCGAAACAATCAATATTGGTATTTTCTAGAGTAAAATACCAACAATTCGTGAACATTTTGATATATTTTGGAGACATTGATCTTGGAGGTCTTGGACATGAATTGGATTTAAAGCTACCTATTAATTTCGAAAATTACTGTTTTTTTCTAAAACCTGTCCTATTGCCAAAACATGATGACCACTGACCAGCGTAAACAGTACACACTGATTGAACTGTGGAAAAATAAGGAAAATTAAAAACTGAATAATCAACAAAGTGAAAGGTTACGAATGATCGTTTTTGCAGAAAAAGAGGGATTTTGGAGGGTTGCTTGCAGAGTTGTGTACTTAATGTATAATCTGAAGTCAGTGCAAGCGCAGCACGTGTGTATTTTAATGTATTATGCAATAAGCCCAATTTGTACGTGCACTGATGTGTATAAGACATATATATAGTTCACTTCTTGCTTCCAATTTCTTAAATTATTGATAAAAGTTACGTTCTACGGCAATTTCTACAGCAATTGAATTGAATCACATGTTATGTATTTTCACTTTCCCGCATTTAAAGCATAATATTATGAAGTTAACTGAGCTTGTACTGAATGGAAATCTAGCGTCCGCCTCAACGAAAAAATGGGCGCAATTCTTGTTTAATGTTTACCTTAGGTTTCCCTTTCTGAACACTGTATAGATGAACACTGGTAACTGGGTCCAACTGAGATTTCGTTTCTTCCAGCATATCCTCGTTAACAATACATACTTGGTGTGTCTGGGATGTAATAATTGCTTTAGTCAATTAGACAATTTATTACAATCTTTCGTTATAGTGTGAAAAATGCAGATTAAACACCTGATGACCTGAAGGTTATACCCAAATTTCACTGTTTTGACTGAAATTTTCTTGAATGACCAATTGATGACTTCACTGTGGATAGCACAAGACAAGATTTAGGTACTTAAAATTGGATACCAAAGAAAGCTTTGACAAACGGAAAATCGTCAGAAGAGAACGAAACAATTTGAAAGATTTCTGAATAGAAACTATTCTGCCGTTTTCTTGACCGAAGTTTCACAGTTCTGACTGAATTTTTTGACCAGTGACTGATCAGTGAAGTCGCCATCAAGGTACTGGAAGCTGTATATCCGGACAAAACTTTGATGGAAATGTACTTTAGGTCCGGTCAGGACTCTTGAACCACTTACCAGAACTCCCTGAGAATTGTGTCTCATCCCACTGACGTAGTAAACACCCTGAATGCTCTTGTGTTTCATATTCTTGTGTTTCATGTGGAATATCGCTAACAACCTGGGAACGTACGTTTCAAAGGAGGCAAGAGAATGAAATATTAATATTTGATTACACTTTCATCCAAAATGCAAGCGAATTTGTTACAGTTTGTCTGTGTAAAAAACTTCAAAAATTTAAATATTAATTACTGTTTAGCTTGGTTAACATTTAGAGAAAATGTTCTGCTCAGCCACTTGTAGGTCACCTGAAAAAAACTTATTATAATAAAATAACAATATTAAACTTGAAATGAAATATTAAAGATATGGAGTTGCCTGCTGAGCTATTATACATATATATAAATGTCTAGTCATGGCGAATATTTTCCGCTCTATTGTTGAACTTTAGATTTAGAGTTTAGGTCTTTCTAACTTGATGGTTTCGATAGAAAAAAAAAAGTTAACCCGGCCTAATCTGATGGAATCGTTAAATCTTATAATACCAGCCCACAAAATTACAGACAAGAATGTAAATATGTAAGAGGCATGGATCCATTTAATTTAGTCCTTGTTCTCAATAGAATTTATTGTGAACAGGAGAAAAAAACCCAAACGCACGATGCCAACCTCAAACAAAATGTTACTCACAACTTTCTTCTGTTCCATAACATACTCCTCGATGTTCTCCAGCAGGAGCCCAAGATCTTCAATACCCATTGTCTAATGTCTTGTTGATAATTAGAATTAGAATTATAATTAGAATTAAATTTACACAGCAATACAATAAGAATACAAATAATTTAAAGAAGCTCTAAACTGCTGTGCAGGACATTCAAGTCAGTCAAAAACTGTTAGTGTTGACAAAACTTGTGTTGATAAAACTTGTTAAGTGTAATTAAAACTAATTAGACCTTATTATTACAAATATATTTAAGGACCCATACATCTAATATACACCAAGTATATAAGAACACTATTTTTTGTATCCTTGAGGTCAACTTTCCAGTTAAGTTGGCTGAGCACATTTTATAGGGCACATAGAATTATTCCATTTAATCGAACCAAATTTAATGCAGTCTGGGACAAGCTTGGTACAAGCCTGGTACAAGCCTGGTTCAAGCCTGGTACAAGCCTGGTACATGATATTTATATATAACATTTGCATTCAAGTGAGCTAGTAGGAATCCTCAAAATATTATTTTGTGTGAAAATGGTGAACGGGATTGTCACTAAAGTTTTGGTGAAACCATTTGGGCTCGACAGATATAATTATGGTGTATTGGTCCTTAATAAGTTGGTGGCTTAAAATCAGATCAAAACATAATGATACATTATACAACCAGAATCTTCTAGAATGATCACTGTATGTTCACTGCACAGCGTAGCTGTAATATAGTCTGCGGATTTAACTTGCATTTAATGATATATCATACTACTTATTGTTAATGTTGTAATTCAATTTGTATTATATTACTATACATGAAACAGCTGATTTATTATTTCAAGCTGTATTTGCTGATTTGATGGCTTATGGCTATGACATGAAAGGATATAAAACCTCAAAAACCACGGTCTGACATAAAAAGGGCCAAAAGAATGCGGCAGCACATTATTCCAAATATAAAATAGTACAACTTTGAAGACGTTGGATAACTTTTTTGGCACTATTAGTGTCATCTAGTGTCATCTAGTGTCATTTAGCGTCATCTATTGTCATCTAGCGCCAGATATCAAATTTCAACTATCGGTAAAAGTCCCGTTTAAGTACAGGTCAATACAGTTTCAATATCTTTGCAAACAGTGGTTAGGAGTTCAGCTATTGTATCTCTGAGTGAATTGTGTCTAAGTGAAACGTAGCCTCCGATTTGTTAGAGTATGGTTGATATGATTTTGTTTTCCACATTCATATAGAGGACTTCTGTTAGCTGTAGACGGTGTGAGATTATATCGGAATGTCGACTGATAGTCGGATCCCAACCGTTCTAAAAGGCTATCTCGTTAGCTTTTCGTGTTAAAAGCGATTTCTCAACGGTTATCACCTCTCTAGATGATTCTTAAAACATTTGGACTTCATGGCAAGGTTGAAATACATGCAATGAGGGCGTTTTCGGCCACACCCTTTTTCAGGGTTTCGCGGTCACTCGAATTATTGTATTTCAGCCCAAGAAGGTCTTAAAGACTATTCCGATACACCAAAATGTGCCTAATAGCCACATTTATTTACAACTTATGAAGTAACATATACCTTAAAATGCTTTGTTTCGGAAATATGGCCGAAAAACGGTTTTTGGCTTGACGCAGTTCATAATTTCCGTGATTTTTGGCATTTCCGCCTAGGAAGGTCGTAGAGACTATTCTGATACACCAAAATGTGCCTAATAGCCACATTTATATACAACTTATGAAGCAACATATACCCTAAAAGGCTTATTTTCGGAAATGTGGCTGAAAAACGGATTTTTGTCGAGCAAACAATGACAATATTCACAAATGGGCTATTGGACTGTTAACTAGAAAAGTCTTAAAGACTCATGAGCAACACAGCATTTGTCACAAGATGTAAGATGACTCACTTTGTGTCCAGAAACACCTACAAAAATTGGAGAATGATCTTGCATGAGTTCGCAATTGCCGACTCATGCACATCATATACTCAAAAACGCTCACATTAGGAGTCATTAGTAAATAACTAATACATGATTTGTGAAAACTCCAACAAAAAATAATAATAATAAAATTTGGTAGCTTAAACACAAACTCTAAGCCCAGTGGATAAACCACAAAACTTATGCTCTATTGTGTGAAACAAAGATACTAGATCAAGATAACTATCAAGGAGTGTATGCATAGGACATAAAAAGTTTTGGAACGAAGATGACATGCTTGTGAAGCGAGCTAACAGTCTAACAATTTTTCCTTGGTACAAATTTGAATAAAATGTGTGACGTGCCAGACCAAAATTCAACTTCAAACTTTTTATTTATTCATGCCATGAAACCATAATGAGTTATGTGCCCATCCTTGGAGAACCCGGCGAATGTCCTTGCTGTACGGCAGTGTTAAACAAGGAATTGAAACCGAGGGGTTCCGTTCAGGCCCTTCACACTTTGTTTCTGTCTAGTTCTAATGTACCGTCACAATAGTGACTTTAATATATGTACCAAGAATACCAGACCTAAAATAAATCGGCACTGGATCCGGATCAGATTGTTGCTTGACCGCTGACCAGTACCCCACTTTTTAATTATGGTTGATTTCGCTGCTTCGACCAATGTTGGTCTGTAATCCCTGGATTGAGATTTGTTGGCCACAGTTTAATTTAGCTAATTTCTTATAATACCGCAGTGGTCTGGTTCCCACTTCAGAATGACCCCATATTCTTTTTTTCAGTCGCATAGATTTTCCCATCGTTTGATAATGTGTGTCAACTGTCATTCCCTCGTTTTTTCTAGTGGTGACTGGCTATTTCTTCTGTTATTACAGCTGTGAGCTGCCTCGAGATCTTATCTGGGGCATGGGCACAAATACTAGAACATTAGAAGATTAGAACTGTAATTCTAGAACTTCAGATTAAGGTTACTTGGCAGAATAGCATTAGCAGGGTTCGAGATTTGACTGAGGGCATTCAGGTAACATACCAGGTTCACATCACCAGTTGAAGTGAATCTTAATTTCGGCATGTAATGCCTTTATGCCTTATAAGTTATAATCTTATAGTAGGATCACGGGGTTTTTATAATAGAAGGTCTCGAGATGCTGATTTAGCTAAATTTAGGTTTCACATGTGACATTTTTCCAGCTTTGGGTAAAGTGGATTTTAGAGCGGGGAGGGGGTCTAAATGACCAAAATCTGAACGATCTCTTACTTACGGGACACTACGGGACAAGGGACGGATCTCGGGCCTAATAGCTGTTTTTTAATGAGAGGCTGGAGTTTGGACCTAGATGGTCAACGTGAGGATAGCATGAGGATTTAGGATGCTCTGCCTGCCTTTCGTGGGGTCTTGTAACCCCTAAAGCTGGTATATCTTATCTAAATTAACCTTGGTTACATCTCGTGCTGTTTTGAATATATGATTAGATTTATAGGTCCAATATCAAGCAAAAAAGTCTGATGTCATGTACTGATGTTACACTTACATGATCTCCGACGCGAGGATCTCCGAAGTCCGATCTTAAAGTTGGATCTCAGAGCCAAAAAGAGGAACGTAAGCCTTGGTTCCTTTCTTTGAGAGTCAAACAGGAAATTCGGGGTTATCAACTCAAACTCGGATTCGTAGCACAATTAAAAAACCAAAGAATAAAAATCTTAATGAATTTCCCGACATTCTAAAATTAATATCAGTTCGTATTCATATATATATATTATATATAGCCTGACTGACAATTTTCTCGACTGACTGACAATGTTTCTTCTTTTCCCCATTTAGAATACAAAGATTAGTACATTTTAGCTTATGATTAATATTATATTTTTACCTATAGTTAACCTAGATCAATTCAGTGGCCCAAACTCCAGTAGGTTACAAGACTTAAGTTCAATTCGAGGAACACTTTGATTAAGCATGATCCTTGTCTAGTTGGAGTTATCTACTAATCACTCCTAAACTGAGCGTTTTAGAGTCGAATCTCGAACCCTGCCATTCGGCCAAGTAATCTTAATCTGAAGTTCTAGAATTACAGTTCTAATGTTCTAGTACTAATGTATTAGTGCCCTAGATAAGATCTCGAGGCAGCTGTAATAAAAAAGAGCTAGCCAGTAAACACTTGATTAAAAAACAAGGGAATGACACACATTATCATACGATGGGAAAATCTATGCGAACCAAACCACTGCGGTATTACTATTATGGTAAATGAGCTAAATTAAACTGCAGCCAGACAGATCCTGCGAAGAACGAGCAACAAGGAAGCATCTGGTAACTGACCTGAAGAAGAAGAGGGCTGAACAGACTCATCTCGACCACTATATCCGGTACGGGAAGGTATGTAGCCGTGATAAAAAGCCATCATGAGTTATTTATGTCTCTCGGACACTGATCAGTATATGTAGGAGTGATGAGAATTTTATGAGTTTTCGGATGTTATCTGTATTTGAGAGACAATTATATAATTTAAATACTTTATTATTTGATTGTTTCACACTTATCATATTTCATAATTTTATTACTAGGTGGAGGTGATGTTATTGAGACTTTGGGCGGCCATAAAACTCCTGTTTTAAAAGTTGTTCTCTGTACTTGTTTCACTGGCCCACGCTTTATAGCATTTATACATTTCGGCCCAATTTATATGTTGTTCGATTTGCTGTACATTTGTATATTTGCTATTTTGTAAAAGTTTCAAATCAAAAGAGATGCCCAATAAAGTAGATCATTCTCCAATTTTTGTAGGTGTTTCTGGACACAAAGTGAGTCATCTTACATCTTGTGACAAATGCTGTGTTGCTCATGAGTCTTTAAGACCTTTCTAGTTAACAGTCCAATAGCCCATTTGTGAATATTGTCATTGTTTGCTCGACAAAAGTCCGTTTTTAGCCACATTTCCGAAAATAAGCCTTTTAGGGTATATGTTGCTTCATAAGTTGTATATAAATGTGGCTATTAGGCACATTTTGGTGTATCAGAATAGTCTCTACGACCTTCCTAGGCGGAAATGCCAAAAATCACGGAAATTATGAACTGCGTCAAGCCAAAAACCGTTTTTCGGCCATATTTCGGAAACAAAGC